GGGGGGGGGGGGGGGGGGGCGGATGCCCCTTGCTCTCTTTCCCGAGAAGCCAAAGAGGGCAATGCTGGCGCATCGGCCGGCCTGCGGGCGCTCCTGCCCGCTCGTGCCCCTGCCCGTCGATGGCATTTCCGTGCCCGCCAGTGTCGGGTGGGGACGGGCGGCATTCCCGCCGACGCCCTTCTCGCCCCTCCCCCCGGGGGCAAAGGGGGGGGGGGGGCGGCGGCCCGGACTCCAGTTGCCCGGAAACCTGCCGATCGGCGGAATGACCGGCCGGCCGAGGGCGGCCCGGCGTGTGGGACGCCCTTGCCGGGGGTAGGTGAAGCCGCACCCTGCGCGAAGAGTCTGTCTGACCGCCCGATTAGGACTTGGCCTCTAGTGGGGCGCGAACAGCCGACATGTGTGCGCGTGTGCCTCTGCCTGCTCGCCCGCGCCCCCCGTGCCCCCCCCCCGCCAGGACCTGAGCAGACTTCGTCCCCCGGTCGTGGGAGCACTCCCCAGGCGCGCATGCTACCTTGCTCTGCCCATGCCGGGGGATGGGGGCCCGGGCGTCCCAGACGCCCGTAATCTTGCGACACTATGGCGGGCGGGGGCTTGCATTTCGCGGCGCTCCAGCCCCGGAGCCGGGCGATCTCCCAAGGGACTGGCTGCCTGCCGCTCGGGGCCGGACTTGGGCGCGCGGACCGTCGCCAGCAGCACCCGGGTCGAGGCAGCGCGGCTCCTGCTGCCCTCTCGCCCGAAAAGGCCCAGGCCCTCAGTCGGCCAGCAGGTTATGGGCATGCTGGCGCCCGCGATCCGGGCGTCGCCCCCCCCCCCCCCCCCCCCCCGGGGGTGGGAGATGGCAGAGAGGCCGGGGGCGGGCCGGCTTCCTGGCATCCCCCCACCCCACCACACTCGCTCCCGGCCCCCATTGGGCCTCGAGGGCTAGGGGCGAGTGGCCGGCATGCGCGCGCACGCACTCCCAGCCAAGGGCCCCCGCGTTTCCGGCGCGGTGCTCCTCTGATCCACGAGTGCTTGGGGCCCCAATGGTTGCGGAGCCGCGCCCCCGCCGGGTGGGAATCCATCACCCGGCCCCCCATTGCCCGCCGCGCCTGCTCCGCCCCCCCCCCCTCCCCCTCTTCGCCCTCTTTCTTTCATTCGGCCGGGGGTGCCCGGCGTGTCACTGGACACCGGGTGAGGGCGCAGCCGGGTGGGAGAGGTGGGGGGGGGGGGGGGGGGGGCATGGGTTGAGGTGGGAATTGATCTCCCTGGCCGATCATTTTTTCCCGCGCAC